TATAGTTAAAGTAGATTTTGTCTTTAAGTATAAACTTAAACTTCTTTAGTACTAAGTTATATAATTAATAATAATAACAAAACTTCTAAACCTTTTTTAGAATATTAATATTAATATTATAATACTTAGTTTTTTTTAAGAAATAATAAAAATAGTTTATACAAGGATATCTAAATCGTCTATAAAGCCTTTAAAGTTATTCTTTTATAAAGAATATATTAGCCTTTATATAACTAAGGTTAAAGAATAAGTAACCTTATTTCTATATAACTAAGATAACGTATATACATAGTGAGCGGATCAACATAGTGAGCGGATCACTTCCTTATCGTATATAAATCCCCTAGTTTTTAACTATTTATTAAAAATCTATTTTAAGCCTAAAAAATACTAGATTTAAGGTATTAGTAATTGATAAGAGTTATATTATAGGAATAAATACTATATAAATTTTAACTCTAGTCTTATAAAGTGTAACTTATAAAGCTCTTATCTAAAGGCTAGATAAGCTAGCTTATATAATCTAGTATAATAAGTAAAGTAAGAATTTTAATAGTATTATTTTCTATAATATAACTCTTATCGAATACTAATACCTAAAACCTAGTATTTTTTAGTCTTAAAATAGACTTTTAATAAATAGTTAAAAACTAGGGGTTTTATATACGATAAGCAAGTGATCCGCTCACTATGTTGATCCGCTCACTATGCATGTACGTTAAGTTTTTTATTTTATTATATAATTATGTTATTAATATTATTAAAATATATACTTAACTTATCTATATTATATAATAAAAACAAGAATAAAGTAAAAGTATTAAGGATATAATATATAACCTTTCCAAGCTAATTCTTTATTTCTATAGTATTAACTAATATAATTAAGTTACTTGCTTTAAATTATACGTTTACTGATCTTAGTCCTTAGAATATTATTATATAAGGGTTCTCCTATAGGTATATAAGGACTTAAGGTTTCCTTATAATAAAGAACTTTATTGCTTTTATATCTTATAGTTTTCCTTAGTATAATAAGATATAAAGATTATGTAATAAGAATTAATAGGCCTTTAATATCTTTAATAATAAAAAGATATTTTTTTTATTATATAATAAAAGAATAAAGAAGATATTAAGAAAATTAATGTTTTTTTATTTTTTATGAATTTTCTCTTCTCATTATATGATTTATCTTCTAAGTTTTTTTCTTTAAAGTTAAGAAAATATAAAGTAAAATCTCTCTATAGTTTTTATTTAAGTATACTATATACCTAAAAGTATTAGTCTTTTATATAATTATGTTCTTTATTTAAATAATTTATAGACTAATAACTCTTCTTTTTATATGTAAAATATCTTTTTTTAGATATTATATAATTAAACTTAGGTTATAATAAAGGTTAATTTTTCTAAGGTTATTAAGAAGATCTTTTATTATTTAATAGTCTATTATATAATATAGACTTCTTGTTTAAAGCGACTTATAGTAATGCTCTTAGGCTAGAAAAGAATTATTTATATATGTAATATGCTTTAAGATTATTTAAAGTAATTTTTAGTTCTAGTATACCTCTATATACTTAAGTAATTTACATATAAAGCATAATCTTTTTCTTAAAAACCTAGGCTAAGTACTTATTATATAAGGGGTATTTTATCTAAGAGTATTTCTAATATATCTATTAGATTTTTATTTAGATTATTTTATTTAATTTATATAAAGAATAGACTTATTTAATCTGTTTAATAGAGAGTATAGTTAATATTATTATTAAAGTATATTTCTAATACATTATATACCTTATCTTATCTCCTTATTAGCCTAATATAATAAAAATAAAACTCTTCTATATAATTAGCTAAGATATTAGGAAATACTACATAGTATTAGTCTTTAGTGATCTTAAAGCATTAATAAAAACTAATAAAGACCTTTACCTTATTATATAAGATATTATATAGCTTACCTATATAATTCTTGTCTTTTCTTTATTCCTTCTAAAAGATTAAGATTATAGTTAGTTTATATAATTTATTTTAGATTATTTGTTTTAGTAGTAGGTTATAGATATTATTTCCTTTATATAAAGGTATTATATAACCTTAGATTTATAGAAAACTCTTAACCTCTTATATAAATCTTATTCTAGGAGATATATTTCTTAAAGCTAATTATAACTACTCTTATATAATTAATATTTAAGTTATCTATAGATTATATAAGGGTTTAATTAGCTCTATTATTAGTTTAGCTATATTTTAAGGTAAAGTTAATTTAAGGTTTTAAATAGGTGTTTAAGTTATTATAATTACATAACTTAGTATAAATATTATATAAGTAAAAAGCTATTTTTTTTTACTTATTAAACTTCTTTTTAATTCTTGTAATACATTTAACTAGTTATTAATTTATATTTCTTATTAGCAGTAATTAGAATCTTTTTAGCTTAATAAGTTATATAAACTTTGCCTTAAACGTATAATAGACCTTTTTTTATTAGAAGATAAACTATTTATTAAAATCTTTATATAGTAATATTATTAGGTTTTTTTTTAATTACTTAAGATAAAGTATTTCTATATTAATATATATAATATATATAGTTATTTCTTTTTTAAATAATATTTATATAATATTAACTAGATTTTCGTAGTATTTAGGATTTATAGTCTTTTTTTATATATATAGTAGGACTTTACTCTTTATACTTATTTTTATATATATTAATAGGTATTTATTAATATTATTATATTAGCTTTAATAATTATTCTTTAGATCTTTTTAAGAAGCTATATTATATTTAGTAGTTATTTTATATTATATAACGTTAAAATTAGTTTATTTAGTACTATAATATATACTTTATATTCTATATATAGTATAATAAAGATTCTTATTTAGTTTAGCTTAGTAAATAATAACAAGAATCTATTTTATATAATAATAAAACAAAAGTTATCTTTATTTTATTTACCTAGTTTAGTTTAATAGGTAATAATAAGTAAAATTAAAGCTTTTTAGTATAAGAGACTTTTTAGTGTGACCCTTTAGGTATCTCTAAGCATTTCTTGTTTTATATAAAGTATAAGACTACCTAGTAGCCTAGCTATAAAGCCTAAGTCTTATCTCTTTACTCTTATTAATTTATAATTATATAAAGCAATTATATAAATTATTAAGTAACTACTAATTAATATTAAATAAAAAAAAATTTCTTAAGAGAACCTATTTATATAATTATACTTAGGTTAAAGTTAAGGTAAACTAAAAATATATTTTCTATGATTATTTTCTTAACTATAAGACTTAGCTTTTATATATAAGATATATAATCTTATATATCCTTAAGTTAGTTTAATATAAATATACTTTTAATTCCCTTAATAGTTAACTAAAAGCTAAATATCTAGTCTATGCCCTTTACTATAATATATGTCCCTAAGTTATACGTATTATATAACTAGCTAGTGCTATAATTCTAAAATAAATATAAATTATATATATTACTAAAGATAACTTTTTTTTTACCTTTAAAGAAACCTTTTTTACTTTAATAAGTAAAAATAATATATAAGCTAGTTTTAAATAAGCTAGCCTTATACCTTTTAACCTAAAAGTAGTTATTTTTTACCTAGATTTTAAGCTAAAGACACTAACATTATCTAACTTATACCTAAGTAGCCAAGGCTCCTAGGACCTAAAGACACTAACTATAGCATATAACGCTATATAAAGCTTTATATTACTTAAAAAAAAATTTATAGTTATTAATATAATTTACTAATACACTTATATAAAATAATTAACTTATAAGCTAAAAGTATTAGTAAGTTAATATATAAACTAGCTCTTATTAAAGCTAAGTACTATAGGCTTTATATAATAAATAAAATACTAAGTAAACGCTAAAGGGCTAAAAAAACCTAACTACGTCTTAAAGGATCACTTAATATAGTCAAAGCAAAAGCAATCTAGGTAAAAAAGAGGGTTATTAATACTAGAAGCAAAAATATGCGTTAAGAGGGGGCTTATACAAAAGAGGATAAAATGCGCAGGCAACAATATAGCAATTACAGAAAGACTGGACATAACGTACAAACATGTCAGGTAGTTTAGGAGACCTCTAAAGAAGAGGATGATGAGTAGTTTTATTTGAAATTGTACGATACTGCTTAATTGACTTATAAAAATCGTTAAAGGGTAAGAAATGTGGCCCGCTCACTATGTTGGCCCGCTCACTATGTTGGCCCGCTCACTATGCATGTACGTTAGTTATATATTATATCTAGCAGGTTAGCTAGCTTATCGTCGTTAAAGAGTAGCATAAGATATATTATACTATAATATAGCCTTTTATACGCTTAATTTTAGATTCGATTTAAGCGTATTAAGCGCTAGAACTAAATCGCTTTCGTTTGATTGTCGTATCATAGTTCTAGGTAGAGAAAACCAAAGGGAAAGGTAGGTCCTATAAAATTCTAGAAAAGTGGCTCACTCGCTTGTGTAGCTCACTCGCTTGTGAACTACGTTACAAGACCTACATTTAGCAATTATTCTCTTAACTACAGTTCTTTCATAGTTCTTTCATAGTTCTTTCATAATTCTAGATATAGTTAAAAGAGTTCCTAATAGCAATAATAGTAAGAACAAAGTAGAAATATATAAAAGAATCTAAGCTACAATAATTTATGATAGGCTAATACATACCGGAGTTCATGAACAGCATTTAGACAGACGTGTATCCGAAGTAGTTATGTTACCTCTGTAAGGCCAGTGTTGTGCTCTCGTGGTTGATTACGATATCTTAAGCCACGTGCCACCACAATTACCCTCCTGCAAGTATTTCATGCCCTTCAAAAACAATCATGAAGCAAGCCTAAATTTCTCTTTTAATTTGTAGACGGACCGCTGATGCACTCTATGAACGCCATCGTACAAAATAAGTGCCCCGAATTTCAAGATTAAACGCCCTCCACTGACTGACCCTGGGCCAATGTCACTCATATGTTGTAATAGGATCGTAATCTCTGTAGTTGCCGTTCGGTGGGTTGCGATCGATCATATATTTAAACTTATCGGAGTGTTGCTTGATATAATCAGGCACATCGAAATTACGTTCGACGCGGTAAAACTTAGCGTCATCTCGGTTGAAGCTGCATGCTGTCAGTGAAGTTCCTGACGAAGTAACTGACTTGAGACTTACATGTCTGTTCCATAGCGTGAAACATTGACAATATGGCTGTGATCCTTGAATTCGGGCTTGTTAAATTCGGAATGAGAAAATGAGTTGATCTTCTCCGCCATCTCCTCGACTGTGCCGAAGCAGTAGCTACAATGCCAACCGCCATAGAGAAAGTCGTGTCCTGGTCCATACCTGAGGTCGGAAGGGAGAACAGTATCTGCACCTCGGTAGAGAGTAGCCTGAGGGTGCGGCCAATCGCCCGTACGCCATTGGTACGAATAATAGTAGAAATCAGAGTGAATGTTGTTGCGTACTGGGACGTTGCAATTCCTTAGTGCGCGAAGTACCTCAGGCTTGGGTATCTCATCGACATCGGATACAATCAGGACGTCATCAATATTCGCAGCCTGCTCATCCACAAGTGTGGGGATGACCTGTTCATACATAGCGTTTCGGCTCGCATGCTCACGGTCCCATGTTGTGCCCGTTTTCAACGCCTCAAGGTCCATGGTCCTCAGAATCATCTTTTCGTGCCATGGCTTGAAAAGTTCCCAGTTGTCTTTGACGAATAGTGGCTTGGGTTGATCGGTAAATGTCAGGTCGGACTCGAGGATGACAAAGTAATCGATGTAGGGGGCCATTTGACCGATACGTATCTCGAGCATCTCCATCTCTGTGTTGACTAGAAGCAGGTCGTAGATCTTGCGCTTCTGGACCATTTCACGGTCGGCTGCTTCAAGGCGATAGTGGTCGCAGTACTCGGCTGCTTTGGCTGGAGCGAACACCTCGCTGCCGGTGATGCCATCGTACGGCTTTCCGTGAGGACGCGTGATCTGTCGGGCTGTCTCAGCGACCTGCTGGTGAAGATCAAGCTGCCACACTAACCAAACAAAAACCAGCGCCGCGAATCCTGCTAGGTATTTGATGGTGTTTGGGCGATACATGACTAGTACTGGTACTGTGCTCAAGAGTGTTGGGAGATGAGGCTGGACGCAGGAGCTTGACGAGTCCCAGTCTTGTAACCAACAGTCGGCCGATGTGATGGTTTGAGAAAGGGAAAGTTGCCTTTGAATGCGGTATAAGTTGATTTGAGGTCACCAAAGCTTGAAGTCCAGGCATACCCGCTAATTTGGCCTTAAATACTTTGGTGCAATGTCCAGTGCGAAGGCATCTCACATCGCGCCACCGATGCGCCTTTGGCACATATTTGTTGGTAAACACAGGGAGTCGTAGGCCCACGACATTCTGGTCAAGATAACATTAGCCAAACATACAATCGGCTCCCTTACAGTGGTAGACTCACTACTCGGCGAAGCATCGGTTCATGACATCAGCTGGAACGTTCGCACCCCTTGAAAAGCCCCCAAAATAACATGTTATGAGTTAATGAGGCTAACAGTGTCGTGCGTTTAGCTCTTCATGCTATCTCTATGATGGGTCAGGGGCTAGTGTTAGCTTTGGTGAGGGTGGCCTTTCCAAAGAACGCGAGGCTCCCATTTTAAATCGGCCTATTGGTCAAGAAGCAGTCCAATTTTGGCTTGGAATTCCCGCAACTCTTGATGCGCCACCAAACCATCCCTTGGCCAGAAGGCTAGGCCAGTTCCTGAATGCGTATTGCCAGCAGGACATTGTTCGTAAACGACCAGAGTCTCAGACTTTCTAACAGAGTCTTCTTCAATACCGCACAAGGAGAAATCTGTCAACTAAAGCTTGTTTTAGGGTCGAGGCGCATTGCCCCATGATCGAATGATTAGTGCGGTGTACAAGGTGTCTCGGACATTTACTTGTTGAGAAACAGTGGCGGAAATTTGGCCAAGGATGCGACAGCAAATCCAATTCCGAAAGCGTCCCTTAAATGTCCATCATCTCTCCAGACCTAGCTTCCTCTCCTGAAAAACTAGCAACTCAGGCCGAAGATTGGTTGGCCTAATAAGGCATCTGTCTTCAACCCTGCTTCCCGTCCTTACTCGAAAGTTTGCAGGCAATGGATGGACAAGAAGACAGGACTTAAGTGATTTAACAGCAACTTAACGTCTTGGTTAGTAGCTTGTTTTGAAAGAGAATACTAATGCGATCAGAAAGTCAGTGTACGGCGTCATATTTCTCCCTGCATGCCTCCCTGCCGTCGCCCGGCCTTGCTGGTTTTGCTTTTTGAGATTTGCGCCAACCCCCTTGGTCAGCGTCTTTCAGCTGCAGCCTCTCCGCGCTAGGAAAAAGAGGGGCTAAATCACTCATGTTTCCACGTTTGGTGCCTTCCAGTAGTAAGGGGGCCCAGGGAGAGGGGTTCTCGTTAACAAGCGGCCCAAAGATGCCGACAGGACCACTGCCAGGGGCGCCCTTTTCATTCTTCATGTGCTCCTGTCTTTTCGTATTAGGCCTTCATTGTCTCATTCCTATCATTCTCAGTCCTGATCAGATATTACTACTGGATGCTGTAGCTAAATGAATTACACCTGCGCTCCCTCCCCAGTATGTTTTCTTGTGTCTACTCATAACCGCCACCCGCTCATGCCGTTTATTTGATCTAGCAAGAGCACGCCTGCCCACATGGTAGAAAACTCAGTCGACCTAGAGTTTGCCTCAGTCTGTCACCATGACTTTTGACGACGCCAACAACAGGAATTAGACGTCCGTTAACTTACTCCCACTGCAATAACCAACCATGGACACAATCTCGATGATGAGGAGGCCTTTCAGTTTTGGTTCTCTTCATCCAGCCTACTTTATTGGGTGCGCGTTATACCTTCATTGGCTTTGGGGCTTTGCTTACCATTTGACAGGTGTTGGATGTTTTTCTCCAATCTCACCATCTTGTTCAATAAGTGGCTCCTCGACACAGCAGGCTTTAGTGAGACGTTATCACTGTCAACTTTAACTTTAGTTTCTGTCCACTAACATACTACAGAATACCGTACGTGTACGTCAACAGCATATTCAGGACGCTGCTAATCAAATTAGCTGTCATCTTAACATGGTGGCATCTCGTCTTCTCAACCCTCGCAACACAGGTCTTGGCACACACAACTTGCCTCCTTGACAGCCGCCACAAGGTTGGGATGACAGCCCAGGTCTATATGCGTGCAATTTTGCCTATTGGTCTATTATACTCAGGCTCTCTAATCTGTTCTAACCTCGTATACCTCTACCTCTCTGTACCCTTTATTCAGATGCTTAAGGCTAGTGCGCCTGTAGCTGTACTCTTTACTAGCTGGGTTTGGGGCGTTGTTGACCCTTCTATGAGGACATTTTATAATGTTTTGCTTATTGTTGCTGGTGTAGGCCTTGCTTCGTTTGGTGAGATAGAGTTCTCATGGATCGGCTTTCTTTTCCAGATGGGTGGCATAGTCTTCGAGGCCATTCGACTAGTCATGATCCAGGTGCTCCTCAAGGGTGAGGACGCGCAGAAGATGGACCCCCTCGTTAGTCTCTATTACTTCGCCCCCATCTGCGCTATCATGAACTTCTTTGTCGCCTGGGCGAGTGAATTCAGTACCTTTAAGATGAGCGACCTACAACACACGGGGGTTGCAACACTGCTGCTCAACGCGACTGTAGCCTTCATGCTCAACGTATCTAGCGTCTTTCTTGTAAGTCATCCATTATCTGAGGAATTGATAGTACGAGCTTACTGATAACCTAAGATTGGTAAAACATCCGGTCTCGTCATGACCCTCAGCAGCATCTTCAAAAACATCCTTCTGATTATCGTCTCTGTCATTATCTGGCAGAACACCATCAGCTTGATGCAGTTTTTTGGTTATAGCATCGCTCTTGTGGGCCTCGTTATCTACTCAACTGGATGGGAGCAACTCAAGGGGTCGGGCACTGACGCCGTTGCGTGGGCCTGCACCCTTTGGGACTCGTACACACTCGACGAGGGGCGCCGCTCGCAGTTTAGGGAACACGCTATTGTTGTTGGTCTGATAGTCCTCATCATTGGGATGCTCATCTTGGGCTTCACCTATGGAGCCTCGACAGTGCCGTTGAACTCGTTGACCACGATGGAGACCGTCGGCAATTAGACATCCTTTTTTTCCTTGCCAAAACTTAAGCACACAATAACCTAGAAGGCGGCCGAGGAAGGGAGGACAGCAGTTCCTTCCTTAAAAAGCCACCTAATAAGAATCTGATCATCAACAACCCTGTATGTGCCCAGGAACCATTTTCGAGCATACGGTCAACGAGTTCTAGGGTAGCAGTTGCCCCAGGTCTAAAATCACAGAGTCCTCAACGCCAATGTCCGAATCTTAATCGGTGACCTCAGACTGGTAATGATGTAATGAAGAGGGTATGACGGTCTCTTTAAGTCCCGACAGTTATTTCCAGCTATGGGTTGGTGGCTAGTAGCGATGATCTGGAGGAATGGGGTTAGATGATGGCGTTACAGAGAGCTTAGAGATGTTAAAGCCTTATAGTACTCGGAAAGACTGGATCGGTTTGTTAGAGCCTTGTATCTATATTCTGTGCTGTAGCCTAAGAAAAGTAGAGTGACATAGAAGAATTCTGGGCCTGTCACAATGCCTGCTTTGTACTTTGACTTTTACTCGCCATTCAGGGATCGAATGCTGATATGAAATAGGAGAACGCAGTGGAGGGCTAGCGTGTATCTTGCACACCCCCAAAGTCACCGGTAGGCAAATCCAAATCTACGACGAACGCTGGAGGATTAAGGGCGTCCTAGCCAAGGTTCCACCAGTCCATATCCTCTTCATTTAAATAATCTCACTACCCTTGCGTTAGCTTGGGCTGTCCACTTTGCCGAACTCCTCCACTCTTCAGGTTAGCCTTTGCTACCGAATCCGGAGGAACCCAAAGCCTAGATTGATGCAAGGTTTCTTTACTAATCAGTGGCTAAGATATAAAGGAGTCGCTGTTGTTGGTTGCAACCTCTAGCTTTCTACCCCTTTTCTGGACAAAATAGGGAGGTGCTGTTGTTTTCCGAAGTTTCAAATGACTTATACGTTCCAATCACTGAATCTAATTGGTCTGCCACTCCCTTTGTGGAAATAGGCTCGTCTGCATAGCCAGTAAGTATCTGGGAAGTGTACACCATTTCTGTTGATGGATGCAGCGGAACAATCGAGGCGACCAGGCTGCTGCTTTCGGCAGCACCAAAGTGCGATATCTAGTGGCGTCGCCCATGGTGTTTGTGGCCGTGGTCTATGAAAGGCGGGAAAACACCCTCATTGCAGAAAGAAAAGGTTATAGCACTTGCCTTGCAGTGAGGCATCGAATTCAGACCCTCGCCTCAGCCACTACAATATCTTGGCTTCCGAGACCTTCATACAACCGTTCGCTAGCTCTGATAGTTCTGTATTCCTTCTAGCTCCCTCATGATTGAATTTGATGGAGATTATTTATGAGTCCCTCCGACTTTACGCTTTGCTGTCCAACCTCTTTTCGCTCCACTGCATGCCATGCCCATGACTAAGCCATGAAGTCAATTCACGGCTATCCAACGACTTCTTTCGATTCCCAGACTCTTTCCAGACTGCGTCGGCAGCATCTTATCTAATTTCGCCGCTTTGATTCTGCTAGTTCGGGTCTTTTTCCTACTTTCCTGATGCCAGCAACGGTAATATCTTGGATACCTTTGGCTCCAGGCCACCGCAACAACCCGGTTATTCGCAAACGGACAGCCTGAGGTCAAAATACCAAGGCAGCACAAGTGACGCCAAAGGATCGCGTAGTTCCGGCTCTCCCATCAACGATATACTAGGGCACTACATGCTCGGAAAGACACAGTCGATGAAGCACCTTGACAGCTCACAGTGAAACATGAGGATCACTATATCAAACCCATTTCTTATGTTTTCCCGCGGTTCCATCCGATTCCGGATAACAACAACTTTTTGGGAAGCAAACTTCACAGAATGGGTCAATGTCAAAAAGGTTACTGTCAATAATTAGCTGGGCGTCGAAAGCCCACGCCCAGTGAAGGAGGTCGGGTTCTATAATCTCTTGGACCTCCTCCACTCGGAAAAGATGGACAGACACGATAAAGAAGAGCCGATGTGGAGTCCCCAGGCCCTTTACAACCACTGTATTGACTATCAGGATCACTAATGAATGATGTTCGCAGAATTCATAAGACAGCCTGTCATCATTACTGGTCCGGGTACCCCGCTTGCAAGCTATGCTAAAAGATGGCCATCCTGACTCACCGTTCATGCTTAGCTGGGCCATCAAGCCCTGGACTGTCCGTTGGGATGGCGCAGACAGACCCAACGGCAACGGAACCTTACTCGCCCAGCATTACGGCGGCGTCGACGATTGGAGTAAACACTATGATTGGATGGCACCTCTTTCAAACACCCTAACTATATCAGAGGTAAACGGCAAGGTGCAGATGATGATCTACAACCCTTACCATATGGGAGACATGGGCAAGAGGATGTTCGACGCGTGACGTATCTGGGCGTCAGAGGACTCTGCCATCGGTGGCATGGACGTGGTCGAGACCAAGCTCGAGGGTGACAGCCCGAATAGCCGCGGACCGACCGACGCAATGAACGAGCTTTGATTTAGGAGCGGCGGTGGGATGGACACCTCTCGATGGCCTCACAACCCCCACGCTCACAGGATCTATTATCGCGGCGGTCAGGTAACGTGGGACAATACACCCCGTCACGTGGCCGATGGCGCAGGCTTCTCTCTGCCATTTGTCCATCCTCGGCTCTAGAAAGGTAGGTCTCCCCCTTCTACCAGCAGAGAAACTTGTTTGAATGGGCTGTTGTTTTATGAGCCACAAAGTCCAGACGCAAGTACAGACCACATAATTGAATTGCTGCACCGGGTCAAGTCAGATCCAAACCCGCTCGGAGAAGAGAACTTTTTCTTCATCAACGCCTGCCCGAGGTCAAGCCCTCCAAGTGTGGATGATTCAGTGGTTCTCAATTTCAAAATGTCTTCATGGGGCGTAAGATCCCTGAACACCATGACTATCTCAGGTTCGACGAGGATCCATATTGTGTACGCCTGTCGCGCGACATGTACGAGGGCGTCATCAGTGGAAAGATTGTTTTGTAAGGTTCTTAGGCGTCTCGGCACACTAGTTTTATAGTTTGCCCAATAACAACTTGTTAACAAGTCGACATTCCTGTGTCCTATTGATTTTATGATCTAGTTTCGCCGTGAAAACCCGTGTTTCCGTTCTACTGGCGACGCCGAAATAAACGTGGTCGAAGCCCGAGCGTTCACATCTTTCCAAGAATAAATACGTCCTATTTAGGACGCTGAACGATTCTACCTTTACGTGTTCTGCTGTTTTGAAGCTTTTGAACACGTCTCGGTGTGTTCTGCCACAGGACAAAGCTTGAGAACGCACTTTTACGCGGGCGGCATCCAAAGAGAGCCTGATAGACATGGGGGAGAACACCAGCATGTTACATGGGACATGCACTACAAGCAAGCCCCCAATATCTGACCAGTTAACTGGATACCCCTCGTGAGGTTAGGGCTAAAGCATACAATGGCAGCTTGGACGGCGTACCAACTACGCTCATCACACTGAGCTTCAAAGAGTCCAGATACTTTATCACGTAGAACAAAGGCAATCGAGTCTTTCAAATGGAGTATGATAATTCAGATAACATGCAATAGGGTACTATGTATATAGAAGAAGTGTTTCCCGTCGCCGTTCCACTCAATGGAAACAAGCTCCAGGCTTTGCAAAAGTCATGTCTTTCCCGTCAACCCTCTGCTTTTTTGAATGCGCCCCGCCCCGGTAATGCATATTGGTATTAAAACAAGGGCTCCCCTCTCCTTCCTTCTAGACAGGCCAACGCCCGTTTCGTCGCTCATAGTCAAAACACGCTCCGCGAGAAGAGGCAAAGCGGGGAACCCCTTAAATGAGGAGACCGCCGACGAAGCCAGCGGCAGCCATGCCCAAGCCGAGCAGGCCCCACCGGACGTCGCCGCGGGCCTCGATACCGGCGCTGGGCTGGCTGGAGGACGAGGCGGAGGGCGCGCCCGAGGAGGAGCTGGGGCTGCCGGTCGAGGTGGCGGGGCCGAGGGAGCCGCCGCCAGTGGAGGCGGGAGCGACGTTGGCCTTGGCGGCGGCGGCGGCCTTGGCGTACGCCTCGACGGTGCGCTGACCGGTGGCACTGCGTTAGAGTGTTAGTACATCGTAACACAATTCATCATGACGTTACGCCAAGGAGAGAAGGAGGGAACGTACGGAGCGTTGATGACACCAACCATGCCGCCCTGGCAGTGCATGCCGGTGGCGCAGTAGAACCACTTGGGGCTCGTGTCGGTGATGTCGATGGTGTAGGCCTCGGCGCCGACGCCGGAGGCGACGGCCACGGGGCCGCTGAAGAAGCCCGTCGTCGTGCCGTTGGTCAGGGGCTGGCACGGGGTATCGAAGGCGGACTGGGCGACGGAGTGGGCCTTGGGGTAGAAGTGGAACTCGACCTTGTCGCCGACGGCGGCCTTGACGGAGTTGGGCTCGAACTTGAGGCCGCCGTCACCGACCTTGACGACGTGGACTGCCGCGGTGGCCGCGGTGGCGTGGAGGAGGGCCGAGATGATGGTTGAGGAGTGCATTTTGGCGGTTGTTATATTACTGTTTGTTTTGGTGGGAATAGACACGGTTGGACGGTTGCAATTAAGAGTGGGCTGGTGAGGAGACTTGTTTGGTTTGAATGAAGGACAAGATCCAACTCTCACGGGGAAGGACGGTGTCTTCTTATACACACTGGAAGTTGCTGCTCAGTCGAGAACCAAGAGCCGCAGGAGAAACAACAAAGACCCTCAAACCGCCGCCCTCCTTGGAACATCCCAAGAGACGCACACGCCCCCCCCCCCCCCTCCGTCTCGTCCTCAGTAGCCCTTTCCTATCATCCTGGCCGACGTTTGAGTCTACAGCCAAGCGGTCCCCAGGATGGATATGTCGGCTTCCGACCCCCAAACAGGGACACCAGCACAGTGGCGGCCTCTTTCCGCAACGCCGTCCGGAAGCAAATTGACCCTTGGGGAGCAGGTCGTGTCGCCTAGGCAGTCAGAGACACAGAGGGAGAAAGACGGCCAGGAGGAACAAACCAAGAGGTAATGGGAATTAAGCTCCGCCCCACGGATGGAATGCTTTCCCTAGACCCGTTCCGCCCCTGCACCGGCCGGGGTATCTGACATCCGAATAAGCGAACAAGCCTGCAGGCCAAGCATTTGCCGCATTCTTCCCGGACGCAGGCGGATCCCTGGGGCGCATCAGACGTCCCAATCTTTGGTAAGTCTAAATTCAGGGTCGCGCCTTTCCCCCTCAGCCGGCCGCGCCCCCAAAAACGGTGCTGCACTGTTGCACTGCAGCGACTGCGCTGCAGAGCGTGGGATGGATGGATGTGGCGTGGCCCAAGTCGGCGCGACATGGCGTGTGTGAGGTTGGGTTGTTGCAGAGGCCCCGACGACGAAGACGAAGGCGACAATTACGACGACGACACCGACAACGATGAGGCACCGCGGCGTTTGACATGGGGGCGCGCCAAACGTCAAAGTGCCCACCACCAGACTGATGGACTGGATGACACCGAAGACGTGAGTCTGTCTGCCTTCAGCCGAAAACCAATCCAAGACAGTTACCGCCGTGCATCTGTCCCGTCGTTCCCGCCGCCAATGTTCGGATCGCGTTTCGTAAATCATCCTGTCCTCTTCGTCCTCTCCCCCCTTCCTCGCTGGAATCGCCAGGAGGGGGAGGCAAGCGAGACGTTCGTCCTCCTCGCTACCTACGTAGTATTTCAGGCTCGCTCCCAGTGCTGCTTCACTGGAGGAGCCGAGATTAATGGCATAGTGCTGATGGCCCCCCCTTATTCTGTCCCCATAAGCAGCCACTCGCCCCGGTGCCGGGTGCCATGTCGATCCCCTCTTCGACGCACCCAGCTGCAACGCCGCCGGCAATCAGTCAAGCCCTCGCAGAGTCTTCGGAAACAATGGCAAAACCGCAGAGTCTCGTTCGTCCCAAACAGAAACAACAAGAGGCGGCGGCCTGCCCACGCCATCCCCGCAACAACGATGTTGGCGTTTCTCGCCACGCGTGCCGAGTTGATGCCACAGTTGGCGGCGCTGGCCAATCAGCATCGCGCCGTCTCCGTGACTGGGATCGTGATTGGACCGGGAGGTCTCAGATTGGCGCCGCAACAAAGTCTAAAACGTCTCGAGCTTGAGGTGCCGCTCCATCCACTCCTTTTTGCTGGGTCATCCGGGGTTTCGACATGGCTGACGGGCGGCGCGTGGTCTTTGGTCTCTCCTATCCTCTGACTCCCTCTTCTCTTCTGCTCAATGCTCTTCAATGCTTTTCAATGCTCGACCCTCGGCTCACTGCTGCTTGTGTCTCTCAGGTTCTCGGGTCCAGAATCTTTGAACACCTACGCCAGAAACGTCTGACAGAGAGAGTGTGTGTGTTCTGCGTTGCATCTCCCACGCCGTTACGGCAGTCTCGGCTGGGTAGGTTGAAAGACAGTCTGCCCCGTCCCAACAAGATGATTAAGGTTCCTCTAGTCTTCTTTAGCAGGCGGGTCAGCGCGCGCTGCAACAAGTCTCCCACTTGCTCAGATTGGGACAAGGTCCTCCGCGTTTTGTGCGCACTACAGTTCTAGCCCCCCCCCCTCGCCTACAAGCCGAGCCGGCGGACGGGACAACTCACGCCCGTTTCCCGCCGTCCTGGCAGCCTAGGAGAGCTGCCATGTGGTGGCCATGACGGTTCATCATTCCAGCCCCCGAGTCGGTCGAACCAGTCTAGCCGGAGCCGATCGCGGGCAATTGCCCCGAAGACGCCGGCCTGGCATGTAACCCTGGGGCTCCGCTCGTTTGTTCGCGCGCGCGTACGTCGGGCTCTCAACTCATGATGGACGGGTTGACCAAATTGTCATATCTTGGTAATTGCCGCTGCTAGTCTAAACCTAACTCTAAGCCATCTTACGCTTGTTACAAACCATGACCGATGTCCAACGCCATTGTTTCCTGATTCGTAGCCGAACGTTCCTCCTGCTATGAACCACCGAAAAAAATCGACTCAATTGCCTCCGTGACGGCGCGACGGGACGTGACAGTCGAGAGCATGTACACACCCCAACACGCAAGGGTAAAAACACACAGCATGGGCCACCGCTGCTGCCGACCCATCAGACGAACGCTCTTCACTCTTCGTCGCTCGAGCTGGAGCCTCCCGATGCCTGGCCGTCACCAGCCGTCTGCTTGTCCTTCTTGCTCTTCTTTCCCTTCTTGTTCTTCTTCTTATTCTTCTTGCTCGAGCCCTCGGCCGGCTCGCCGAGGTCAATCAGGTTGGTGGCTTGCGCGTTCCCGACGTTTCCGCCCGAGACAGCCTTGGAAATGTCGACCAGCATCTTCTTGAGCTCCTCGACCTCGCTGCGCAGCTTCTGCACCTCGGAAATCGCAGGGTCCACATCCAGGTTGGTCTTGGCTGTGATGCACACCTTGTTCCACCCATCCGACTCAAAGTCGACCTGGTCCATCATCTGCTCCCACTCCTCGATCGTGTCGTCGTCCTCCTCGCCTCGCGCTCGGTTGCTCCTAATCTCGGCGGCAGATCGAGTTTCGAAAAAGGCCGCGACGACGAGGACGGGCGAGTAGAGGATCCCCATAATGATATCGCTCATGCGCTCAAACTTTGCCTTGTCCATCCACCAAAAGAGGGCAATGACCACCATCTCAATCAGGTTGAAAGGCGGGATGTAGACGTTCTCGTCGGGAGCGCGAACGAACTGCATCGTCTTTTGCGCAAACAGCGCGAGGTACTCGTCGTTGGCGTTGTCGTAGATGTCCTCATACGCCGAGTTGTACAACGCAATGAGGATGTTGAGCAGGACAACCTGCACGTGAATTAGTGACGGAAACAACCGCTCGGAGAGAATAGAAGAAGCTTACCATGACAATGAAGGTAAAGCAGTAGTAGAGGATGATGCCAAACGGCGGCGAAAACTTGTCGAACCCGTCAAAGTCGGGACTCTGCATGATGGCATTTGCCATGGCCGATATGATGAAGAGGATATCGTCCGCCACCAGGTCATCGGCCAGGTCGAGGCCGACGAACGCCTGAAGAAACCCAATGATCAACACCGCCAACAAGGCGAAGAAGATGATTGACTCCTTCATCATGACCTTGAGGACCACAAGCATGGCACCAAAGAAGCGGAAGCTGTCGAGGTACAGCAGCAGCCGGGACCAAATCATGGGCGCGCTGAAGGCCAGGAAGTTGTAGCTGAGCTCGCTGTAGTATTTCCGCGCTTGTTCGTTCTCGCCATGGGTCAGACCGATGATGCGCAAGATCAGCGACAGCGAGATGAAGGAGTAGAGGACGCCGTTGAAGGCATTCCAGAAACCCAGGATGTGGTAGCCAGCCTTCCAAAACTTGGTGACCTCCTCGCAGATGAAGCCGAACGTGAAGACGTACAACAGCACCTCAGCCGCGTCCAAGTCGCCCTTGGCATTCACCGAGTTGATGACGGCGGTGTAGAGGCCGATGTAGATCAGGGAGATGAGGACCTGGGTTGCGTTCTGGTACATGGGGGCGCGGATACGGTCGGGGTCCATGTGGACTAGGAAGGACGGGTTCGTCTTGTCTCTATAGTCGACAAAGACGGCGGGATCGTTCTCGTCCTGGACCAGCCACCCTTTCCAGAGGTAAGAGATGCACTTCTGGTATCCCGAGGACCCAATGACCCTGACCGCGTGGAGATCGACGGCCTTCTCGATGACGTTGGCGGGAGGAGTCGGGTCGCCGTCGATGAGGATGGAGTAGCGGCGCAGCAGAACCGAGTGCATGAGGTACTGGAGGTCTTCTTCGCCTTCGATGCTGCAGCGGTTGTGGTCAGTACTGGGCACAGCTTTCCAGGACGTGACAAGGGCTTACATCTGCTTGGCTATGACTTCGCAGGCGACGGCACGCACTCGGTGCAAGTCCGAATCCCACAGCTCGACCAAGGCCTGGTGCTTGAACCATCTCTTGCAGACAATCAGGCAAAAGACCACACAGGACCCGTAGTGCGAGCCGCCAGCCTCCTTGGCAGCCTTGACGACCTTGGTGGTGATGATCTTGCTATGCGCCTTTGTGATTTCGTCCTCGTCCAGCTCGCACGGCACCGCAAGCTCAATCAGGTGGCGGAGCTTCAGAGCAATCTTTGTGACTTCGGGCGCGGGGATCGCAGACTCGAGGTGCTCGGATCGGTACTGCGGGAGGACTGGTTCGGGGCAGTAGACCCTCTTGTAAGCAATGGGGGCTAGTTGAAGGGGGTCCATCTTGACGCGAACCGAGACCGCGACAACTGCCACAGGTGTTTCGGAGGGGGGAGAGGAGGTTAAGATCAAGAGGGGTACGTACGGCGTCTGCGGTCGTCGCGAATCCAATCCGAGTGGAAGTCGTGGTGATGTCTTGGGTGTCGGTCCCAGCCCAGCATGCGGGAAACCCAGTTGAAGTTGGCCATGGCGACTGCGGTTGCCTCGTCTTATCAGTGTCGGACGGATAGCCAATGGTCGAGGTACGGAGTGACCCGATCTTTCTTAAGTTGCTGCAGCGCGCGGCGTCGTTGTTGTCGTCGCGGTCGTCGATCTCAAGAGGCGAGAAGAGCAAGGAGCAGTCGACAGAGGCAATTGGCAAAGACTTGCAGCACAGCACCTACTCCAAAGCTGGCGCAAGAATGGAGGGGTGAAGCAGGACGTTAAAGACTAAGAGGCAAAAGCAAACGCGAAAAAATAAAATAAATAAACTTGGCTTTTGACGAGGTGTAGCGCAGCGGTTGGCGGCCGTCGCATCCTTCCCTGTTTTGGTCGCTGGCGTCGAGGAGACACAGCAAGCTTGAAGCTGCTAGTGCGCGTCTTCTGTAAGTGACGTCGACCTACAGCGGGGCACCGGGGATGGGGGGCCAGCCTTAACAAGAAACAGTGCCAATCTGCGGGTGATTAGATAATCAGGTACATCGAAGCTCAATGGAGCTAACGCCGCTTTGGGCCGACCCCACAGCGTTGGTGCCAAAACTTGGCTGCCAAGCTTCAACCCGCCAGTATTCCTGCCGTTTCGCCCACACTACCACACCACACTACACCACACGCCATCGTCTTTTCGCGTTTGTTGGTCCAAAGACATGTCGGGGGTATTTTTATTTTGTTTTGTATTATTCTATGCTTTCGCATGCTGATTGCTGCGGTAATCCGCTGCAGTTACACAAGCACCCACAAGCGGACGTTCTCTCCCGACTCGGAGTGAATTCGATGGATGAAGTACAGGCGACGACGGCACGGTGTCGACGACAAACTCACATGACGGGCATTCATCAATGTCATTCATTGCTTGCCTAACGGCTGTTTCATTTACATGCCCTCCCGTCCCCTCCTCGTCATCAAATGTCGTCCGCCGGCGCCGTCATCTCACTCACACGTTCCATCACCCAACTCTCATCCGTTGCCATCACCCAGCCCATCTAGGTCATGCAAGGGCCTCAGGTCCGGACGTTTCCTCTAATCTAACGCTGTCCGCCATCTCATGGCCGCTCGGGACAAGCCATCGTGACCGTCCGCCACACATGAGCTCATCGAGCAAACAAACCCCAACACCATCAGGTCCTCGCGCCCGTCGTCTCCTTCCACAGATCAATCACCATGGCCGCAATGTTCTGAATCGTATCCGGCGCGTTCGGCAGATGATGGCCCCCCGGGTACCTCACGACATTGCGTGTGCTCCGCTCCGAACACAGCTCAATCAGCTCCTCGCTCGCCGGCTTCCACGGATCAAACAGCCCCACCACGTGCGCCGTCGGTGCCAGGATCTTGTCGTTGTCCGGCACGAACGGTGGGTACGTGCCGCACAGGAAAACACCAAAGAGGTTGTACGGCACGAACGGCTGCCGCTGCTGCTCAAGCAGCAGGCTCGCTGCCGCCCGCGCCCCTTGTGAGAACCCCATGACCCCGACGTACGGCCCCGTCTGCTGCACGTACATCTTGAGCAGCTCCATTGCCGTTTCCTTCTGCCGCTGCAACTCCTCCGCCGGCAACGACGGATCGTCGCTGACCCACCGCCGGTACGGCCCGCACCCTTCGAACACGGGGAGCACGCCCGGCCCGGGCTCCGTCTCGATGGGCCCGTCGAGGAAGACGAACTCGAACCGCGGCTCGAGAACTCGCGAGAGCCTGATGAGCTGGATCTGGAAGATGGTGCCGGATGAGCCTCCGCCGTGGAGGCAGAGGATCTTGGGCCGCTCTGGTGGCGGCACGTTCACGGCGTATGGCTGGTACATGGCGTTTGGTACACGCTGGGGGTTTTGCCTCTGAACAAGTGAAGGGACCAAGGTGAGTCGACTTGCACGTGAGGTAATGACTGAGCTGTGCTCGCTAGTTGGACATTCTGCGGCGTTCTGCGGGATAAGTAAGGCTGCAATGCGAGCTGACGGCGAGTGGCTGGTGAGATGAGAAGGTGGATCATATGCTCTCGGTCGTTTCGGGCTCTGTCGTTTGAACCTCCGACGCCCGGTCCTGGTCTCACCTCACTTACATAAGCCCAACTTACTTCTCTTTTCGACCAACCATCACTCGTTCAGGAACTCTACCAGGTAGCATCGAACTCGGACCGTCCATTCTGTTTCGATGGTGTCGGAACCTTCACGCGCACACTTTTGGTCGAGACCGAATGGCAACCGGGCCCGGGTCCGAACCATTCGCCGTCGACCTCATCTGTGGCGAAAACCCAACATGCACCCAACGTTACGACACCGTTTGCTATCTGTTTCCGTCTCCCGCATGTGGCCTTGACGTTGATGCTCCAGCGGTTTGTGATGAAAGACGCCTACTTGGTGGCCTCGGCCTGGATACTCCACACCCTTACCTTCTTCGCCAACTGCTCGCCAGGCGGCCAAATTCCTCGAGCAAATCCTTCGTGCTGGACTCACCCGTGCAAGCAGCCCCCAACAGCTCGCTGGAACGTGACTGCCTTGCGAATCATCCCCCATCGCGCCGCCATAGATGACGAGATTGAGTTCGTGATGGGGCATGAACTGGTGGGGCGGGGACTGGTCAATGTCAGAATGGCCTGCGGGGAAAGCTGTGACGCCGAGGTCTGCCGCCAGCATGGCGTGTCCAGATCTCTGCGATCGATGCCGGGATATCACGAAGCATAAACCCTGTAGTCTCCCGCGAAATCGGGCAGGCGGAATATGGATATGGCGTGGTAAATCTGTTTGGCTGAGTATACGGTAGCAATGAATCAAAAGAGATTAGGGAGACGTGAGGATAATTATAGAAGAGTAGGAATAAGGCATGTTGACCTAGCTCTTGTTAATGCCTCTTAATGTAGGTAGGGCGCTACGCTGCAAGACAGATTAAACTAACACAATTGACGTGGATATAATATTCTAATTCTGTCTTTCTGCCCTGATACTTGTATTACTGACAACCCTTGAGGGAGTTGTACTCTCTTCTGGAGATGAGAGCTGACCTACGGGTGTATCTTGGCCTAAACAGCAGGTGCTTAGATTCGAGGAGCGTGACGCCGCTCTACTTAGACTATGCCGTTATTAGGCTAAAATCAATGAAAATTGCCGTTATCTTTCTTAAGAATCCTTTGCTTATCTAATGACAATATGTTCCTTAACTCCTCTTAGACTAAACGCCGATGTTAAGTAGAGATATGTACTGGAAATCAAATATGTATAATACTAGGTACTCCCTGGTTACTACTAAGTAAGTTAACTATAGTACACTTTTTACTGGGTCCTTTTATAAGATACTGTAACTGGATACTAAACCATTAACTTTTACTTCTACTTACATAGGTAGTAGATGCCTAGTGTTACGACCCAAATCCGGTTGGTGGCTAGTGCAGCCTGAAGCGAACCCCTGGAGCGGCCAACAGGGCAGCCAGACATTTAAGTATGCAGGCTAACGGCACGAACCGGGCTCAGAACAGAAGAACTAGGGAAGGTCACGTGACGGATCAATTAGATCACTAGTAATCTAATGTGATCTTTTAGTAAGGATTATTAACTAGTAAGATTAATGCTTTACTTAGGATTATAAGTAATAAAAATAATTTAAAAAAAAAAGCTAAGATATAAGGATATTTATTTTAAGAAGATAAAAACCTTTTATAGCTTTTTAGTAATTAATTTTATAATTTATTTTTTTATAAATAACTTTTAGATTATTTTTCTATTATAAAGCTTTAAAGCTATTTATACTTAGATATACTTAACTAATTATTAAATATTAATAGACTAATAAGATTACTAATAAGACTTATTTTACTATTACTAAGTATTAACTTTAGTTACTTATTAATAAAAAATACTATTATTAGATATTTAATTATAATACTTTAATTACTTTTATTTAGTAAATTAACCTTAATACTTATTAAATAGTAATAGTAAGAATAACAAGGGGTTATTTATAATAGTTACAAGGAAAAGTAAAGAAGAATAAAGGTAAACAGAAAAGGTATATATATATATTAACCGTTAAGGTTTTATTATACTTTATTATTGTTCTTAAAAACTATCTAAGTAAAAGGAATATCTCTTAGTTATATAGAAAGTCCCTTAGATATATATTGTTACCCTTGCTAATAGACACAGGAGGTCTGCCACTATATAAGGTAGACCTTTTACAGGGTCATTAAGAGAATCAACTTCTTTTACCTCTATCTTCTAGATCCTATCTTTGGTAAAGCAGGTTTACTATATTAACCGTAAGGTCTGTCAGACTATACAATAAATCTAACTACTCCTTTAAAGGACTTGCTTTATTAGAGGGGTAATAAGTAGTAATATAACCTTCTACTTTATTCCTTAGCTTTTATTAAGAAATAAATTCGCTATATAAATTTTATTTTTTATTAAAGTAAATAACTAAAAAGTAAACCTTAGCTTAATAAAAGCAATAATATAATAACTTACTTTATATACTATTATATTAACGCTAACATTAAGTATAGCTAATAATAAGACCTAAGGGACTAAAGTACTATAATTAAATCTAAAACCTTATAGATATACTTAAATACTTCTTATTAATTAAGCTAGTTATACTATTACTACTATAATAGTAATAGTAAATACTTAGCTAAGTAAATTAAAAAGTAAAATTTTTAAACTAATTTTATACTATAAGGTATAATTAATTTATACTTATATCTAAGATATTTACTATATATAGCGCTTTATTAAATAAAAGCTAAATAAACTATTAGTTTATAGTCTTTTAAACAACTTCTAATAGAACTATACCTAATTATCTATAGTATTTTAGTATATTAACCTTAATAATAAATAATATAAGATCCTTTTTTTTAATAATAAAGATTATATTTTACTATTATACTTTTTTAAATAAAATCTTAAAAGAGAAATTAAGAGATACTTATAAATAATAAAGTAAATTATTTAGCTTATATACTAAGATAAGCTTTTTAGAGATAAAAATATAATTAGTAATATATCTTTAATCTTAGAGGACTAAAGTAGCCTAAGTAATTAGCCTAGGACTATTATTATAGCTATAGATTATAAGGTAAATAACTTACTATAAGAATAGTACTAAATCTTTTTTTAGCTAAGAGACTTAGCTTTACTACTATTTCTAATAACTAGGGGCATATTAAGATTATTAAAGGACAAGGTAAGGTCTTTACTATATCTAACACCTTTAACTAGTACTAACCTTATATAAGAACTAATAGGTAAAGTAGAAGATCACTAGACCTTTACTTACCTAAGTAGCTTTTTACTAGTAGTAACAAAGAAACCCTAGGATATACTAAGGTTAACCTATATAGTCTAATAAACTAAGACCTTAAACGTTATACTTATATAACTTATTAGTAAGTTTACTAATATTCTTTGTAATATATAGTTAAATATATTAACTTTAGTAGTAATAATAATATTATTTTTATAAGTAATTACTTAAATATAAAAATAAATAAAGTATAGAATCTTTTAGCTTAATGTTTTATATAATAAATTCCTTAAAAGAAACGTATTTTTTAATAAAAAATAAGTTTATTACTATAATATAAACTTTTAAATATAATTAATTATAATAAAAGCTATAATAAAATCTATAAAGAATATTTTATACTAAAAGCTATTTAAACTTCTATAAAAAGCTATTACTATTTAGTATTAAGAATAACTCTTTACTATTAAATAAATTATACTTATTCTTAGTCTTAATAAGTAGTTTATAGCCTTAAAGAAAGTCTTTAGTTTATATCTAAGTACTATTAAAGATTAGTTTAATATATACTTATATATAGCCTAAAATAACCTTAATAAGAAACTAATTAAGACCTTTACTATAATAGCTTTTACTTATACTAAAGTATAAAGAGATATTACTAACTTTTATCTACTTATTTATTTTAGATTAATATTATATTTATATTTATACCTATTATATCTAAAGCTATAAAAAATAATATAATTAATATATACTTTATTAAAGCTAAAGAAAAATAGTAGATACTTTAAGATATACTTAAAAAAAAATAAAGCTAATAACTTACTTTTTAGACCTAGGCTTAGTAAATTAAAAAGAGAATAGTAAAAGAAATAATAAGAGTATATATTATAAAGATAAGGCTAGATATTAACTATATAACTATAAGATATAGCTATAGAGATAATAAGTAAGGCTATAAGAAAGGTAAGAATACTTAAGGTAATAAGAATTTAGGAAGGATTATAGCTAACCTTAACGCTAAGAATACTTATTACTAGGTATATAAGATTAGCTACTATATTAACCTATACACTAAGAGTAATAATTTAGTAACTAAGACTAGTAGTAACCTCTTCTCTACTACCTTTACTAGATATAATAGCTATAAAAACTATACGTTAAGAATATAGATATAAGCGTTAATACTTACTAGGTTAAAAGTATAATCTATAAGAATAACCTAGATACTAAGGAGGTTACTAGTAACCTAATAAGTTAAGGATACTAAGTTAAAGAAAAAAGTAAGAATAGAGAAAATAATAATAACTCTTTAAAATTAGTAATAAACTTTATTAAATTATATACTATAAGAAATAAGCTAATAAGTCTAATATATATAACTCTTTTACTAGTAGTACTTTTAGTATTAAAAAAAGCTTTATTTTACTACTAAATACTAAAAGTAGTAAAGGTATTTATTATATAACGTATATACATAGCAAGTAGCCTATTATAGTAAGTAGCCTACTTTTTCCTTTCTCCTTAAACTTTAACTTTATATTAATTTTACTTTATATATAAT